GCTGGACATATTATATATATACATGTATTTAGGTCTTTGTGTAAGCTCTACCTATGAGACTAGCCAAATCCGTCTGGAGTCAAACCCACTGTGCAGTACTAGAAGGATCACTGTAGGAAGCCTGCTATAGAACAAATCCAAACTTGATCAAACATGGCAAGTTAACTATTGATAGACAAATCAAATACACAATTACAAAACGTAAGGTATATGTACGTGCTCACAAGGACAAGCAGAAGCCCACACAAAATTATAAGATTATTTGGTTGTGAAAGGATTACCCCTGAGAGTAAAACATGCAGAATCACACAAATTTTGTAGATAGTTGTTGTAAAATCTTTGAGGTTTTTTACACTTGAAATTTTCAATGAAAAATTTCCATTGACACAGTGAGGTGTCAACTGAGAATCTCAAATACAGATTTTTTTTTTGAGCTACAGAACATATATCATACAGACCCAACCTGGCACTTCCTCTTCCCATTATCTCAGGTGCTGACTCTTAAGGAAAAGGTAGCTCTGTTCATCCTTTAGTTGAGACTTCCAATGATAACACCAAAGTGCACCAGCCTCTCCTGAACAAAGGTTCTTGTCTATAACCAACCCATTTCATGCAGCCATGCGATAGCAACATACTGTGGCTACTGCATATCTAGCTAGGACTGAACCAGTGATTTAAAGATGATTTAGATGATTATTCTCATGCAAAAAATTCTGAAATGAACCACAAATTGCCTTGGAAGAAGGGAGGCAGGGGATGACTTTTTGTCAAAATTTAAGCAAGACATAACTCCTCCTTTCCTAATCTAAGCTGATGTGCTTTTTTTTTTTTTTTTTTTTTTGAGCTACACTGACATAGAAAATAAAAAAATCTTCCCTCCATCCAACAGAAATCCTAGAAGGCAGCTGGGCAGTCCTGACCAACATGAAACATTCTGCTAAAATAACAAACTAAACAAAAAGGTAACCAGGGCTAAAGTGGCCTAGACAGCTTAGCATCACTACCTGGAAAATAACTTGGCATCAAGTCCACAGCTACATCCAAACAGAGAGAGGATCAGCCCTGTTTGCTACATCAAACATGGCTCAGATTTTTTTCTCTCTTCCTCTCTCTTCAAACATAAATAGTTCCAGGCTCTTAAATAAATTAGCTCAACTTTGGTTATACAAGCTGTTTCATTTTTTCTCCAAAAGGGAATATAGATGTTTGTTTAAAAACTGTAAATAAAATATAAACGGAGATTTTCCATTACATAGTGATCCTTTCCAGTAAGTAACGATCAGCGCTATGTCCATTTTTCTTCCTTATCCTATACTTGGGGATAACAGCATTATTATGACTACTTCTGATGGTAAACGGATGAAAAAATAATTATGTCATAAGAGGAGGTTTACCTGTACTTATTCACCGTATAAGCAAAATAATAATCAGGTTTAAAATGCACAGAAAATAAGTGCAACAAAATTACTTACCATTACTTACAATTTTGTTCTTTAAAAAAACCTGCTTCCTTTATGTGTATATGTTGTGTGGAACATGTGAACCCTAGAAAGGCTAATTAGTGAAAGACAACAGTTCTTAAAAGCCCTACAAGCACTTACCACTCGGCTCTATTGGGACTGTTCCTAGGAGTCAAGTGGTGCCTATATGGATTATGTTGCTGCTGGGATTTTTTGCATCAAGATAGTTACAGTAGTGTAGCTCTAGGATAAAAATACATCATGCAGTAACAATATGACAGTGTAAACAGAAGGTTCACCGTAGCTTCAAACTGTGGCAAGTTGTTTTGTGTATTAGTGTGGAACATTTTGATTGTGTTTTCAAAGATGTAAAACTAAAGCAGGTCCAAAGTACTTCCACGATAGGATGTGAAGTTTGGCTTTAGGGCATGATTAGCCAAGGGCAGGGGTTTTTCTTCTCAATATTACAGTGATGCTTCACATCCTTCCTAAAACTGGCTGGGGTGAGATGTCTCTGGCTTTGAATCTTTCTTTAGCATGGAGCAGATTATTACTATTATTATTGATTTATGTCATGCCTGTCTGCTTCCAGCCTCAAAACACTTTACTAAGTTACAATATACATAGAAATCATTTCACGTCAGCCACCACCACTCTGTAGCCTTCTCTGGAGGGAAACTGAAGGGAGCCATTAGGATGGTGCCTGCAACATTAAACAACAATCCAGGAGAGGAAGTAAAGAATACTCTGGCTCCTTAAAGCAATGGCTCAACAGAATGCAGTCACTGAACTGCCATCCAGCTGGGACACCAAAGTCAATACCCATTCACCGTGTGTGGTTAAAATTAAATCTCCTAATGAAGTGAGATGGTTTTAGTGGTTAGAGAGTGAGTGCAAAGTATTATTCTCCTGTATTATTATTTGCAAGTTATACAGCTAACAAGGGAAAAGATCACACACAGGAAAATAGCAGACAGTTAGATAATGTTCCAAGCCCAGTTTCTAAATGACATTTGGGCAAATAAAGCTTTGGAAAAATATGTTAAAAAAAAAAGATGACACAGAAAAAGGGAATTGGCAGCTTCTCAATGTTTTTAGGGAACGAAACTAAACTGAACAGAAGCGATGTCAGTTTTTATCCCCTGTAATTCAGGTCCAGAGAAAAGAATATTATTAGCTTCTGTTAATGAGAAGGTATTCCCTAAACACTGCTCGAAATGCTCCTGAATTTTAATTTGCTTAGAAAAAGAAATGGTAAAGTATTGAGGGGAAAGAACCCTAACAGCTTATTTTTGTCCCTGAATTAGCAAAATGCTTAGATGGTTTTCTGGATGGGAGGTTTATGTATCTGATTAAAAAGATCCTCACACAATGTTATCAAGCTCTCCTTTCAGGGCTAGTAATTGCTAGCTGGTTCTAATCATTCTTGCAAGTGATCATTTGAAAGGTTCATTTTATGACCCCTCGAACTAGCACAAAGAATCTCACTCCATAATGTAATAAACAATTCTACAACCAGTGCTTAATTAATTCCCGAAAGTCACCAAAAGGAGCTATTAATGATCTTTCTTTTTATCTAACCATAAATATGCAAGTCTCCTGGGATAAAGGATTTAAAAAGAACATTCTGGCAAAACTAACTGTCAACTTGATAAAGCATAAAATGATCACCAGTGAGGGCAATTCAAAATACGACGGCAATGCTACCTAGTCTGATTAGAAAGTTAGGTCAGGTTGGATTAAATTTTTTCTGAACGTTGTGCTTACCAAAAAGAGGACAGAATTGACATGGTACAAAACAGACTCAACCCAAATGACTATACAAGAGAAAATTACTACAACCTTTAGAAAATTATTTTAAAAAATCAATTCTATTTGGGGATTTGCTTTACTGTGAAAATATCAACAATCATTATATTAGAGCATGGACAGTATTTCAGGGTTGTTTAAAATACGCATATTATAAAGAGCAGGCTGATATTTTCAAGAGAACTTAAGCATTTCAGGAGCCCAACTATCATTTTCACAAGTAAATCAGGCAGTAGGAAGCCCTTAAATGAAATTTAGTTTCCTGGCAACGCAACCCAATGCTGAAAATTAGATTTAGGCTTCTAAAGGGCTTTCATGTTTTTGAACATCACACTTCCTGCAGCACTGCACAGCTGACTAGGTGTAATACAGTAATTTACCCTTCTACTGAGGCTGTCGGAATGGAATCACTTTGATGGCTATAGTGATGTCTGGGAGGTTGGTTTTTTTTCTTACACTGTAAAAAAATTTTTTACTGGTCATAGCCAGTGATGACTGGAAACTCTGACCGGAAGCAGGGCGAGGAAAGAAAGAGAGAATCTGCCTTTTCCAAAATAAACTCATGCAGTCCTTTGGGTGCTTGTGCTTGATGACAGTGCAGCCTATGCACTGGCATGTCCCACCTTCAGAAGAGCTCCATGAGCTATTGGACCCTCGATGGACTGGGACTTTCTGAATCTCTTCTGTTGAACCAATGCCTGTGACACCCACACATGGAAACATGAACTAGACTGCCTCACAATACAGCCATTATGGTTCTTGCTTTGTGTATGGAAATCCAAGGTTCAAGTACCTCTCAAATGCGTTTTTAAGTATTAATGCAAAGAAACAAACACAACAGGAAACATTAAGAGAGACACAGTGGGAAATAACTAAGAGGACTTTCAGGCTCCCCACTCCTTGACTCCCCTGGGCTGGGCAAACAAGGCCTCAGATCTTCAGAACAGTGCTTTTCCAGTCCCTTGACCTGTGGAAGGACTCAGACTGGAAGGTGGAGGCTGCGGATTGCTGCATTTAACACTGAAGACCTTACTGTTCCAAATATTTTAGAAAACCTGGAAATTCCTTTAAACAGGAAATTTTAAAATTTCTCAGTTTTGTTCTAATCTTCAATAAAACATTTTTTTTTCTTTTTTAATGTTGGAATTTCCTGTGGAACAGAAGTTCTGTTTTAAAAGCATTTCTATTCAACAACGCTATTCAGATGGAAGCATTTTCCTATTCATTCTACTTTGCAACTAACTGATGCTACCCCAAATGTATTGCTCTTCCAAGAATGATGTGGCAGCCCTGGAATAGCTAATTAGTTGGGCTGTATGATGCCTCTGCCAAAAGTTTCAGCTTCTAGAGGCATTCCTTTAAGGAATGGTGGTGTGGGTTTGGCATTTACAAGGATACACATGGTTTCAGGAGCCCACAGGCACCAAAAGTTAGCTTGTGTTTTATAACTGCTCATCTCAACCCAGTCATTGAGCCGATGTCCTAACCACAGTGAGTCAAGCAAACTTCTTCAAAGCACTCATGCAGAAAGCTTTTGGTTAATTTATTTTTCTTTTTTAATAAAAATTTTGTCTTTGGGGAATCTTTTAAGAAAATTCCACTTCTACAGCTATTAACTGGGAAAATAATTAAATTCAAACATTACTAGCATTGTAGATAAATACCTTTGTCACTTAGCCCTCAAATTTTTATACATTGTTAAGGCAAATGAAAGCTGTCTAAATCGAGTACCTTTATACTTGGTCACCACAGCTGAGTTGACACTCAGAGGTTCTTGGAAGGTGACAGTGAGTGATGTACTGCTTGTTACCATGAGACAGACATTGGTTGGCGCCTCAGGGGCTCCTGGGAGAGAAGAGAAAACATCAGCTCTTCAGCACAACAAATCCTATTCAAACAATGTTTCTGAGTCTTCAAAGAACCCACTGAAAATCACCCTGCAATTGTGAGCTTTGGGTTGTAGGTGTTTGTGTTCTCTGCCTTTTGAGCATTTTAATTAGTGCCCCTGCTAACAATATCCTGCAGACACCATTTGTTTATATCACGGTTTTTGGCTCCTTTTGGTTAAAAATATCTTCCTGCATATATGTAACCCAATAAAACAGATTCATGCTAATTATGTCAGTGAAAAGCCCCTATAAATCTCTTGGGGTGGGTAGGAGGAGAGAGAAAGGACAAAACCACAAAGAGCTAATTAAGCCTTTATGGTTTCACTAACAAACTCAAATTTATCAAATAAACAGAAAACATTTTTACATTATTGTGATTCAGAAATTGCAAATTCCACAAACGTTTCAGTGTAGTAGTTCCAAAATACAGTTTTCAGTTGAGGCCTAACATCTTTTTTTTTTTTTTTTTAAAAAGCTTAATTCACAGAATATCAATCAATCAGACTCAATTCAGAAATCAAACACAAAATGTCATGACTTACTGCTGGGACTGATTTAAAAAATCATTATATTAACTTACACTACTGCTGCATTTCCTGTATTTAGTATCTAATACAAAGAGCACTACATCTGTCTTGAAGAAGTAATCTTAGAATATAATAAATTTGAGAAAATTATTTGTAAGTACATTTATATAAAAACGGTTGTAAAAATGTTAATGGCAATGATTGTTTTTCATTGAATAGGATACCGCTAAGAGATCTACATGTGAAACAATTCAGCCCTGTTTACTCCTTCCCATGGGCCCAAATTCACATTTACTTTGGGTACAGACTCACTTGTACAACTGCTTAAAGTGACCCAATCTGTGACTACGCTGATGAAATGTTATGTGTGGATGCCAAAATTAAAATTAAGTTTTCACAATTTTTATATGTAAAATGGAATTCCATTGTTTGATCAAATGTTTAGAACAACTCCATTCTTCTAAAAAAGAATACATTTTTTTTAAAAATCAAATTCCAACAGAAAAAAGACGAATGTCCCCATCCCCCTTCCTCTCTTTTCATATATTCTTTTCTAATCATCCTATTTTAAACTCTGAGCACATTAAATGAGATCCAGGAGTAAATGTGAAGAGAAATAAGCAGGACAGAATCATTAGAACCTGAACCAAGAGTTTGGAGGTCTCATCAATTTTATGCAGCCCACTCCTAAAGGAGCTATGTGCTTGTTGCTCTCAGATATTTGGTCCTCTATTGTTCTAACATCAATTTCCTTCTCACTCTTGGGAAGGCCATTTAGTCGTATCCCTCAGTTTTCCCACCCTAACATTCGTCTGCTTCACAGCAGTGCTGTGAGGATCAGTTAGTGAGAGCATCTTTGCTCAACAAAGGCAGAGTGTTCTCAGTTGTAGAGTTCGTATTGAATTTTGCAAGTACTTTCTTTTACTTACTAGCATGCTCGTAGCCTGCCTTCATGCGCTTGTATAGCCTGTATCTCCATTCCCATGCTTTTAGTTGCTTCTCTTTTTCTGTGTTGTCTGTACCAAGGCCTTCATTCATCACTTGTGCAGACAATTCAGTAACTCGCTGCTGTGCTTCCTGGACCAATGTACTCAGATGCACTGACCTGCTTTCCATGTTAACAACTACCAAGAAAAGGGAAAAGTAAGTAATAGCATGGTGAACTTATGTGACAAAATTCTGACCTTATGCATAACACATGTAAGGTCAAATCTTTGAACACTCTGCCTTCCAGTAGTTATCTTGTCATCAAGCAGATTAAAGCATGCCAATTTATACCACTTAAGGATCCGGCCACTTAAATGGGATTAACAACATGAATAAATTGAGCAAATTTTATCTTCCAATGTTTCTCATACGCTTAAAAATTTCTTAATTAGACCGAAATTGCGTATATGTTTTAAGTTGGTGGAATATTAAAACCGAACTAAAATAATAAAGCATTTGGTTTCTATCCAACCTCTACTTTGCCATAATATCATAAGCTTTCATAGAAAAAAAGAAGGTTGTACTGGTCATAAACACATACAATATATAAATCTCTACAAGCGAAGAGAAATCTAATTGGCAAATTTAAGAATGAGAGTTTTGTGCCTAAGGGCCATCGCTGGTATAGAATGGATCTCTTTCCAGATTTTCTTTGTGCCACAGTTTTGCCCATGTAATATCTAATTAGTCCTGTGACAGACTGGACAGATAGCAAGCAGCTTGACACATGGAGACTTTGTTTTTCTCCAGAAATAATTTTAATTTGATTTTTAGCAGTTCAGATTGCCTGTATGAACTACTGTGTGCTACATAAAGGTGAAAATGAAGATCGCATAGGTTACAAACTAAAATAGGTTTGATTTTAGCCCAAGTCCACAAGACTACCCTAAACCAGCCCCTTGATTGTACAGTGAAATGTGGTGAATCAAGCCCTATTGTCAGAACTGCTCTTAGCCTGAAATTGTTCAAACTATTTGCGATTTAGAAAATAGGACTTGTAAAGGCGTTTAATCTGAAGAGAAATGCAACCACTGATATGATGTTCAATATGCAGGAAATAAAGTGTACAAGAGAAGGAATTCTGAAATCACAGAAAATAACTTTTCTCTGGTGTCTGGTATTTTTGCAGAAGAGCTCTGAGATAGTCTTAATTTAAAAGGCCGCTATTTACTGAAAACATTGCCCTAGCACAAGGAGCTACTCTTAGCAATGATGGGGAGTTGCTATGTAGGGACAGGCAGGCTCTTTGGTTCTTAAGGAACAGCATGAATTTTGCACAGGATGCACCAATCATTCACTTGCATAAGCCAGGAGCAGTAGACATTTCTGAAAAGATCAAACTGTACCATATAAAGGACCAAGACTCTGACAGGTATTTGACATAAAAACACCACATGAGCAAAGATGTCTGCGCATATGAATGTGTTATTCCTAAACTGGAATCATAGGATTATGGGACAAATCAGATTGGAAAGGACCTTCTCTAGTCCAAGCTTCTTGTTCAAAACAGGCTCAGCTATGAGGTCAGACCAAGTTACTGAGGGCATTACCCAGTCTAGTCTTGAAAACTTCCCAGGTTGGAGGCTTTACAACGACTCTAGGCAACCTGTTCCATTGCTTTACTGGCCTTATCGTGCAAAAGATGTTTGTTTTATCCAGTCTGACCCTCTCGTTTTAACTTTTGCCCTCTGTCTCTCATAACAATATCACAATTGAAGTTTAGCAGAGTCTAAGAATAGCCCTACATACTAATGTGAAAAGTGCGATGGGATCTTTAAAGCCACAGGAGGAGAGCAAGGAATTACTCAACGCCTCTGACATCCAAAAGGTTGTTCTTGAAGAATGTTTGTCTCTAAGACTTTGCTTTCAGAAGCTGGCTTGAAGCCATCCTTCTTGAAGTTTGATCATTATTCATATGGACATCAGAGACATATGGCCAGGCTTACTGGAATCTCCTGGTATCCTCAGAACTGCCTGTTTACTGGGAGGCCAAAGGTGATACCGTTTCCTGGATCCATGCCTACAATAAGCGTGCAACACATCTGATAGCACAACAGGACTGAGGAAGGAGATTTTATGTGCCAGAACTTCAGGTGATTGAGAATTGGCATTGGTTCAAATTCTCACTAAGGATCTGGCTTTATCTGTTTGATCAAGATTCTGATCCACAATTGTCAGGTCTTGGAAACATGTCCAATCAGCCACTGGAAATTTTAATCTTATTTTTATTTGGGTTCACATGAACAAGCCAAGCCAAACCATGAGTATATGATGAATAAGAGAACTGAAAAGATAACACAGTGGACTTTGCCTCCTCCCCAACTAAATTAATATTTTAAATGCTGTACTCTCTGATCTTTCTTACTTTGTGTTTAAGAGATGTTGGGTTCCTATTAAGATTTATACAGTCTGAGCTCCATGTGGAAATGAAGATCATAGTTTTACTTTCTATTGCTTTATCTGCTATTGTTCCTATTCCAGGCAGAAATCCAGGTGATACAGATGGAAGCTATCTGTTCTCCAGATCCTCTTTTCCACAGCATTAGTTTAGAGGCTATAATGAGATTTCAGCTGGATCACTTTGGCTGATACAGTGCAAGAGCAAGAGTTTTCTCTGTAGGAAGCTTTCTGTGTGCACTTGGAATGGGGAATTCCTCTACCTTGCCGTCTCCCAGATCTGTGCATCTGTCCTATACACTTCCAATTAGATTAAGAGATGCTTGTGTCCTGTCCCAAAATTGGGGTGAGTCAGAATTTTACATTGAAATCCTCCCCTCCCATTCAACCTGGGAAGTCTTGCTCAACTGCCCACCATAGAGAAATGAAAATTCTCCTGCTGGGTGCTGGATCATGTTCTAGCAGCCCTGAGATCATACAAACAGAATGGATTTCACTCTAACAGGGTTGGTTGAGTACAGAAAGCAAAGCAGAAAGACTAGAGAAAATAGAAAGTGACTGCTATCCATTCCACAAGAATGAAGCCACATACAAAGATGCTGTGAACCTTTGTTCTGAGTGCTGAAAATAACTTTTTGCATTTTGCTCTCAAGTAGCAACTGTAAACCCTCAAGGTAAAAAAAACACAAAACAAAGAATTGTTTGCTTTTTATTGAGAATGCTTCATCCATTATTTCAATCAGAAAAAATAAAAATCAAGATAAGTGAAGTGGAAATTTAGTGGGTATATTTTGAAATGGAAATGAGGTGGTTATATATTCATATTCTCTGTGTTCATAGGCATGTTTGCATTAATTACAGGAAATGAATACTAATTTATGATTGCCCCTGCTCGCCATCAGACTGCATTTATTTACAGATGAGGTCAATGAAAAATTAGTTTAGTCTTTTTTACTGCTGTTTAGAACACTCAAGACTGTGTTTTCCTCTAGATTTGTCATGGTTAATGAATGTTGCTTCAGCAGTCAATCATGTACTCTAAATGCTGTCACACTTTTTTTTAAAGCCTCAGTCATGAACCATGACAGAAAAATAAACAAATAAATATAAAACTAAAAAACTCTTTTCACTGAGCAGCTACACTATGCAAAAATCTCCAGGGAAGGTTAAAGGAGGCCAGAATAAATGATAATATAAGTGCTGTGGACATAGAAAAGCAATAAAGGTGTACCAACACTGAGGGTCTGGCAAAAAAACTCAACACACACACGCACATGCACACACACTCTCCAGTGAAAAAACTGGCAATGTTAGTAGCCTCAAGGTGCAATTTCCTGGAGCACTGAGATTGACATGCCAGCACTAAATGTTGTTAATTTAACTAACTTCAAATTAATGGCAGAGTCTGCAGTGGCCGAACCCCTCAAACACAGTCTCATTATAGCCTTGCTGGGAATGTCCTAAATATAGGCATTGACAGTTTAAAACAAATTCGCATACATTGGTGTATTTTTAGACACAAGTAAGGCGTCAGAGTTTGTGTCATGGTATACAGTTGATTAATTGGGTTGGTAAGTCACCCTCCAACCCACAAATTGTGCATAAAAATGCCCATGAAGGAATACAAAGGAGTTTTATAACTACAATATGTAGTTATAAGCAATATTGGTATTCCAGTAAAGTGAGAAGGTCTGTTTTGTGTTTAGATTTTCTCTGGTTCTGTAGAACTTTGAAATTCTCATTTAAGTGGGATTTTGGGCCATTTGAAGACTAGGAGTGAGGAGTCTGTGGGTAATGGAAAGGATAGATTTCAACACAACCTGTCTCCTGAAGGCAGCATAGCCAAAATCAAAAGTTAATAAAAATAAACCAAAGTCTAGACAACCCATCGTCCTTTCATTTTTGATGACAAACTCCATATTTCAGACCATGATCTTTGAATCACTCACTCAGTTCCTGTTTCCATATTTTTAAAGATTTTTTCTCAGTATTGATATTAACTCAGCTGCCCCAGTGTTAATCACATTAGAAGCTCAACCTGATTCATCAGTTGGTGTATCTGACATAGAGAATAAGAAAGATCTACGGAGCACGCATTCAACAAGCAGATATTGCTGCAAATGGCCTCCAGCACTGTGGTACTATTGGTGATCTGATCATCCTTATGATAAAACCAGTCAATTTTTGTGTGTCATGTAATTAATTTCCCAAAACAGCAGCAAACTTAATGTCCTACAGGCAATTAGCTAAGTCAATTCAGTTTGTGTTCTTTACTTACAGTGTGGGCTTTCCTTTGCCCCAACGTGTAGAAGGGTCCTAGCAATAGGGGCGTTGTTTGTCAAAATGGCAATATCCAAAGGAGTTAGTCCCTCACTGTTTGGTGTGTTCAGGTCCAGTTCCTCCAAAGTGTATTGATAAAGAAGAATCTGAACAGCATCCAGGTCTTGCTGTTCTACGGCCTCAAACATAGCTTCATTGCACTGGAAATTCTGTGTACCAATAAAAACAGAAATTCAGTAAAACTTTTCAGATGTCAATGTTTTAAAAATAAATTGAGAAAATTTGCGCTTTGTGAGATTGCTATAAAATATTGATCCTCCAGCCCCAGCTTAGGTTCAGCTAGAAACATGGAAATTGTTTGCAGCAAAACTGAGCTTGGTCTGTCTCTGGACTTGTGTACTTGAACTTGCTTCAGGGTCTGTGGGAAGATTCAAGTGAGATTCAAACCCATACAAAACAAAGCCACACTTATTTAGACATCTGTCCTGTAATGAGCAATATTGTATGTTTTCAGTGTGAAACTGGATGAAAGACTATGATTTTGGCAGAGTCTTGGACTACTGAGTTTTTCAAACTCAAAATTTAAAGTAGGAATCTAAAAACTCAGGTGATCAAAATCCAAATCAAACAAGCTATTCTGGAGAAAAACCTTCACAGCTCCAGTGTGAGCTAGTAATAGGTACTGTTCATTCAAACACTTCAGTCATTTCTAGGTGCTACTGTTTTTGCATTTAACTTGTAACTAGAAGCAGCTTTGAAATGTATAGTCCTTAAAAAAAGAAGTAGAAATGGGATGAAAAAATTGACCGTCCAGCGTGCATGTTCAGAAAGTGATGTGTCTGAACAGCAGAGAACTAAAAGAGCCAAACCCAAGAACATACATGGCACTGACTCTCAAGCGGGGAGAACCACTGAACCTTTTCCTTACCAATGTCAAGGAGATAAAAGAATGGTATAATACAAAGAAACCTATTGTTTCTTAATTGAGCCGGGGAGAAGCAGGTGCAGGAGCGTAGCATGGCCTGCAGGTTTCTGTTATGAGAACATCCTTCTGGAGCCTACAGTAATGACATGTTATTTGCCAAGATTCTTTAAATTCTCTCCCAGTGTCCCATTGCCATAATTACCCAATAGGTTTTTTTCCTCTTAAGAATGAATTAGTAGAAGCAAGAGGCCCAGCTAAGCAAGGAGGGCTCAGCATGTGGTTGCATAAAGGAACTGAGATCTATGTAAACATATTGTGCCAATGGGCATACTAAAGAAATGCATACATAAGAGAGCAAGTGATCCAGATACATGATGTAAACTAGCTTCCTGTGTCCTGAAACCCACATGGAGGAAACACAGAGAAAATTCTTATATAATAATGTATTCTTTATGATATGAAATAAATATTGAATTGAAACCACCTTCTACTGTGATTAGAAATTAACATTTCAGCCACATTGAAACTTCATTTTCTTTTTTAAATAGATGTAGTTTTATTTGGCATATCCCTGTCCAAATTTTGCTCTCAGTGAAACAACATTTTCTGAAAGACCACTGATCTGCTGGAACATCTTTTGTCTCCTCCTAAAATGCATAGACTAATGGTTTGCAAGCAGTTCTGAAAACTAGAGTCCACAGCTACACGTTGGAATTTGATCAGTTCTACAGGTTTTTTTCGGTTGCGCTTGAAGTTAAAAGTGTCTTCAGAAATTCTCAGGCCTGACAGATCTCCTGGTCTACTGTTTTGCATGTGAAGTATTGGTACCACACTAAGAAACTGCAAGGATGATGTTATCTTAAAGTTTTAATGTGGACCCCACCTATGCTGATTATTAGGGATCAGCAGAACAAGAAGACAGATGCACGTAAGATGATCTTTACCCAAAATTGTCAATCTAGAGAAATGAGATACCTTCTGTTAGATGACTATCTAAGGATGAGATGAGCTATGCAGCAATAAAGCAAATCTAGGAGAGTCGTCCCAACTTGGGAATCTACCTTTTAGACACTTAAATACAAAAGATAGCTCATGCTGGAGAAACACTTTGTCTGTAGATTTCCATGCAGAATAAACGACACTACTTAAACAAGTGCTTCCTCAAAATGAGTCTCTGTCAAATTCTTGTTTTCAGATTCTTCTCTAGATTGTAAGATTCAGATTTAATTTCATTATCAAATACTTAGATCATACTTCAGTGTTAGGTGTAAGAGAAAAATCTCAGAAAAAGGAACATTTGCATGGTAAGCAGCTAGATTTATCATTCCTTAGCCACCCCTCTGTTTAAGGCAAAAAATATTCTTTAAGGACATATACTGTCATTAGAGAGGGCATATCTCCAGAAATTTTTAGAAAAGAGACTAGCACATATTGCTCTTATTATAAGGTAAAACTTTAAAATTACAGAAATTTTTACTGCAATGCAGCAGTATTTCTTTTCATTCCAGTAGCTCCACACATCTGCTGTCTTGCTTATATAACACCTTATCATCCTGAAATCAGAGATCTTACTCTTATTCTGGCTTTTTGCCCCTACCCTGAAGGGCTAGAAATTTCTGTCTAGAAATTAAAAGAATTTTAATTAATTTTAATTATAATTACAAAATATTTTAATTAATGGTATGATTCTGATACATGCTATATGTCATCAACTCCCATTCAAGTCAATGATACGCATTTAACGGCTGTATGTCACTGTACTATATACTCAAAATTAACATAAATAGATGAAAAAAAAAGACAAAAAAAAAAAGCTGTGCTCCTTCGCTCTTTGAAACTTCGTTATTGTGAATGCATAACTGTGAACTGATAGACTGTTTTTTTCGTACAAATTATTAGAAATGCAAAATATATTCACCAATTCTCCAAAAATATCTATCAACATTCTAAAAAGCATTAATTTCATCACAGTTTACACCCATTTCAAGTTCTTTTTCTACTGATTTTGGAACTTCCTCTATACTGTTGTTTATGGAAATAAAGGGTAATTATGCCTTCAGAAGCATCTGCACTTGATTGAATCAAAAAACAAGCAAAATCATATTACTCTTGTAACTGAACACAGCTAGGAAAGTCTACTTATTTAACAGTAAATTCATAAAGAGCTTACTACAAAGGGATCTGGTTGAAGTAAACTGAATGACTACATTAGTTTCCATTTCTTTTAGTTACGTTCATTTTAAGAAACACCAGCTAACAGTCTGAGAGCAGAACACAAAGGTACAGCTGATGATATTACTCAATGACAGGCTTGTGGTGCTCACTTAGGACAGGAAACTAGGTATTTCTCAGTTCACATTTCCACTTCTGTGGCACTGGGTACATACATGGTTTTCCCCTTTTTTGAAATCAGAATAGTCATTCTCTTTTAATTGACTTTATGTATGTGCATAAAAGTTAAATGAGTTAGCATTTGTAGAGTGCTACCCTAAGTGCTCAATACCATTATTTGGCTTTAATTCCAATTTTGTGTAAAATTCAAGAAATCTTGTACCACATCTCAGGAGTTTCTTGCATTATATAAAAACAAAAAATCCCTGGTACATAATTAAAAAAAAAGATGGCTAACTTCAGTATTACAGCTGAAATTACCCCAATAATAGGCTGACAAAAGCACTTGGCCCTTTTCAAATATATATACACACACTTTAACAACAGATTTTACCTAGCTGAATGATTATTGTAGAATTATGTTAAAAACTTTGATTTGAATTGTTATTTTTGGTTTCAGTTATCAAGATTTAGACCTGCCTAGATGCCTTTGAAAATGCATCTTTGGATCTTTGTTTGCCAAATTAAATACCTAAAGTATTTGTGAAATTTTGGCCTTAAGTAAGTTGCTGAACAGAATCTAAGCACATGCTTAAGTTAATTCCTCATAAATGCTCTTGCCAGCTAATCTGTTGGCAAGAATGTTTCACCAAAAGGGAAAAAATAAAAGCAAATTTCTATTTCTTCATTTCATTAGAAATCTGATTGAAAAAGCTGCACTGATTTAAACAAGAAACAGAGCATGAATTTTATAAGCTACTTCATCCAATCCAAACAATTATGAGACCAAATTGCAAATATCAGGTTTTCCAAATGAACAATTCAGACAGTACAAGCAATAGGCTGAAATATGTTGGCAAGTCTCGTAACCTCAAAGAGTGTAGAAACATGGGAACTGTGATATGGCCTTTCTAACTTGGCATGTATGCATCCCTCATCCACAAAGCAGTGCGCATCTAATCATGCTATATCTATTTCAGTCAAAAAATACCCTGGTGAGACAGCAAAATATCTACCACATTTTCAGCTATGCCAGTAAATTGCCCCACTTGGAAGTCTGCATCAAGCCCAGGTCTCCAACATTCTACACACCTGACCCACTTTTCCCCAACTATTTGCTTTCACACAGAAACAGAAATATATTTGAAGATTATATAGTTTTCTGCAAAAAGCTGATCATAGTCTGTATAAAAGACTCTCTAGTATTGCAGCATTGTTCAGACATCTGCAGCCCAGGGGTAAGAAATTCAAATAGGGGTAAGACGTAGTATCTTTAGACCCATGTGCTCAATTTTAGTCCAGCTGGTATTGTCACAAATACTAACAAGAGCCTTCTGATTTCTGCCTTCATTTACATTTACTAGATAACTTTCTTCTGCTCTGAAAAGACAAAACCACTGAATTCAAAGAGAAACTGAATCACATTTATAAGTGATCAGGTAAAGTTTAGGGCATTTTTTACATTGCTTTTTCCTTGACTCAGTTCTGCAGCCTCTAATCATTAGCTAGACAGCTGCGCTATGTGATTAATTTATTTAGGTGTTACTCTGATGCACAAATGTATATACTGAAAAGGACTACAGTATTGCTTTGCAGTAAGTAATAACCATGTTCCAGTAAGTGATTCAGTGCTGGAGTGTTTAGAAATGCAATCTTATGTAGCTTAATTAAAATGAAGTGCCCCTTTCAAGATATTTGCTCTAGGTTTGACTGAAAAAGTCCACTATGTGCTACTGGAGTTGGAAAAAATGTTAAAGTAGTTTCTGCAAAGACTTGTTTTGATAAACATGAGTTCAAGAATAAAGCTATTTTGGGACATTGCTATGTCTGCAGCAAGACAACAATTTACTGAATGGAAAGTGTTGCACAGCAAGAGAGAATGGAAAGAAAACTCTTCACTAGCCAAAGCTGAAAAAACAAATTCTAACAAATGTTGTTCACTTATCTGGAGACATGATTCTGTAGCACAGAAACTCAATGATTAGAAAACACATCAGCTAGCAACTTGACCTGGAATATTTCCACCCCTTCACTGATGGTTTCCTTGCTGTTTATTTCTAGGGAAAAGTGTGAAAACAACAGGCAGAATGGATAGAATGGGATCCAAATCCTTTTGACTTCAGTGGGGGTCTATTCACTGACTGTTGTGGACACCAGCGCAGACCCCACACTGGTAATATTTAGAGGTACCTACGCTCACTGTAGGTCAGCAGTGACAAAAGCTATGTCACTCCCATGACAGCGTAGTGGTTTGGGGGAAACAAGTAAGTCTATATCCTATTAAACCACCATCCACATCACAATGTAGAATTGAGTCTCCTAATCACGATTACTGATTGAACACTCCCACCGCCTGACAGACCTGGACTGAAAAGGGAGAGAAGTGAGATTGTAAGTAATTAGCTCTGTGGATAGCAGAGGACTTGAGCCTCAGAAGCAGTACACTGCTCCTCAATCTTTGGGCCATGCTCATTTGCCATTTCTCTTCTCATTAGTTAAGTATGACAGAAGACCCCATATTTGAAGGAATATGTAGTTTGAAGTGTATATTTAGAGAAACACTGGTCAGAAGATATACTAACAGACTGGCATTCATTCAGTCTACATGTCAGTCTGCTCTGGCATGGTCCCCAGCACTAGTTTATCCTCCGCTTAGTCACACACAGGCTTGCAATTGAAAAGGAAAAGGCACGAAAAGATAGTGGCTAAAAAATTAATCTAAAGAATCTTTTCCCACAGTTCATACTTAGAGGCCCAAATTCAAATGATCCCTACAAACTGAAAGCATCTGGAAACCCATTGCCTCAAAAGCACAGCTGTTGGCTACTATGCAAAGGCTGTTCTCCAGCTATCAAGCCCTGTTTGAGTTTCAGGCTTCCTCCTTCTGTGAAACAAAATCTATTGGCTCTGGCAGAGCTGAGAGGAAGGAGCCATGATCTCTTGCTTCCTTCAGGTCATAGTCTTTCTTTACAGGAGAGAGACAAGAGTCTCTTGACTTTCCAATGCACTAGAGCTACATTTCATCTTAGATCTTCCATGGGGCATGCATGGGTCCTCTGACTTCAAGAAAGGAGTGATCCTAAGGGATAGGATCATTGAATTGATTTAAAAATTATTTTAAATTCTTGCATTGATTCATATAATTTGTCTTATACATAACAAAGATTTGTGAGTGTTAAAGGAGTCTAGGGTGTGTTTTTTCTACTGACAAAATGTAATATATGGCCCAACCATATTCAGAGTTTAGTCCTGCACTGTGCTAAGCGTCTGCTTTAGTGCAGCAGAGTAATGGTTCCAGGAGGTGTCTCCTGGCGCATTCATAGACACTGTCATAAGTCACAGCTCTTCATAAGTGGAGAGGAACTCTTTCC